AGCATAATGTAAACGTTTGAAATATTGGGAGAATGACCAAAATGTGGCACTGTGACAGGAAGTGAGCACACAACGTGGGGAACACGGAGCCATTAGACTTGGTTGAAGCTGGTGGCCGCAAATTTTCCATCTGGAGGAGTCGCTATATGTGCGACGCGTAGTAAAGTGAAGGGCAATAAAACAAGGTCTGCCGTGTGTGTGTGTGTGTGTGTGTGTGTGTGTGTATGAGAGAGAGAGAGAGAGACCTGTGGCTCTATGAAGTCCTGAACTTTCTTCCCTTTGCTCTTGGCTGTGAGATGAGCAAAGCCTCCGCCCTTCTTTCCTCAGGAGGGAAGAGGAACATTTTGACCCTACAAAGAAGCCAGCAGACTTTTTGTACAGACAAGGCTATTCAATTTCCTTTAAATTCAGCAATTTCTGATTCCCAATTCTTCTCAGTCAGTGCCCCAACACCCGAATCCCAAGAAGAAAAGAAAAAGTTTTAAACTCCCTTAGTTACTGCCACCAACTCACAGAAGTCTCAGCCGGTTGAGATTTACATGTGAAAACAGGGTTTCCTCACCTTGCAACTTGGGACAAGGAGAACCTTCTGTCTTTTAGGGGGAAAACAAAATCCAACTGAAATCATCAAACTGAGAAGAAAACACCATCTCCCTCCCAATGTATTCCCCTAGCCCCAAAGTTACACGTGCTCTGTGGCAGACACAGAGCTGCAGCTTTCAATGTGCCTTTTGTTGGAAGCTGGTGTTTCAACATCCTCAGCTTGAAGAGAGAAAGGTCACACACAAGGCTTCAGACTCTCATAAACCCAGCCGGCTTCAACTACAGGGTCCAACCAGGAACAGGCACGCAAAGGGCCTAGAATTCTCCAGACTATGGACCCCCTCAAAATCCAGCCAGGGGCTTACTCTGTCATCTAAACTTTCCCCATAGCTTGCAAGCAACTTTTAAACCCCTGGGACCAGATATATGCCAGAGAACAAAAGTTGGAATCCAGAGAACACAAGCTGGCCAAGCTACAGGGTTCTCCAGCCACAAAACCGGCCTCTTTATCTGTACCTTAAAAAAATAATACACAAACCCAGGCACCTCTGGGAACAGCCTCTGGCCTCCTGCCCTGCCCTGTGTAACCAGCCTGTCCTCACACCCACAGGAGGAGACAAAACTGGTTAACCCTTTGGTCCACCAGGGCCTGTTCTCAAGTCCCAGGTTGCAGCAAGGAGACAAACTCTTGCTCAAGAAAACCCTTCAGAAAACCCTTGGCACCAAGAGGCAGCTTGGAGTGGCTCTGCCCTTGGCACTTGGCCAGGCAGAGCCCTTGATAGGCTTCTTCTGCCCATGGCCCTTTCTAAACCTCTCTAGGTTAGGCTCTACTCTCCCAGAGGGTTCCAAATGGCCATGGCAGAAGGGAGAGAAGGGAAAGGCTGGCGGAGCAGTGTCCTTGCCTGCCAGTGTGGCCGCCAGCGTTTCAGAAGACCTCTGAGGGAACATTTGTTTGGGCTGCCAAGTTAAATCTTCCTCCCTCATGTCAGGGCATTGGAAAAGCAGTCAGGGGAGAGGAGAAAGGGGGAGCGCAGGGGAAGGAGCAGTGGGAGGGAGGGAGGGAGGAAAGAGGGAGGCAGGCGGGCAGGCGGGGCTGGGGGGACAGGCAGGAGGGGGGTATGGGCAGGCTCACAGCCCCAGTTACTCCGGCATTGACTACCCAGGAAGCTTGTGGCTGCGGGCTAGCACAGCCTGGGCTCCAGGCACCAAAGCAGGATTCCCCGGGCCAGGCGCAGGGTGCCAATTGCCCTCAGTCCCCTCCCGGGGAGAGGCCCTCGCTAAGTGCCCCCCTGGAGGGCAGAGGCAGAACGGGAAGGCACAGAAGGAAAAAGTTTGCCTCGGGAGAGGGGTAGGGCAGGCGCTCCTGCCATTTGGGTAAGCAGCT